GATGACGAGAATTGGCCACACGCGAACTATCATATATTGGCCACATTTGAATGTGTTTGTCAGAGGTCTCTCGATGATGACAGTGTCATCATGACACTTGCGGAATTTTTGAGGCGGAGATATGTTTTCATATCCCGGTTTCTGACTCCGTTATGTAACAAACGTGACTATCGTCAACAAATGTTCACGATCGACTATAAATATCATTTCTTCCCATTTGCTGACCAAAAAACATACATCAATTTTGCTTTCGCAATTCATTCAATTCGGGATTGAGACACAAAGTGCCGAATTTGCCATCTGTATTTGGCTTTATGTGTCACATTCGATTGCACATAATGCCGAAATAGTATATTAATATGTGATCCGGTTTTGAATAAATTCGAATACTGATCGAGGATGAGGCACATAGTGCCGAATTGTTATCCCACTTGGTAAATTTGTTAACCGTGCATCAAATTCTTCCAAACTAATGCTTCAATTCGAAGAACAATTCTAGGTACACCCACTCACAAACAAAAGTTTCATTCTAGGGCAGGAAACTGATTGGGCAAAACCCTAGGTCCTTCACCCACATTTAAAAAACAACAAAACCTGATTAATCAAATAAAAAATAATTACCAAGAAGCAAAAATTTAGGGAAATGATTAATTTATAAAAAACATAACCCATTTTATGACTTTTCCTCTTATTGGCCCTTTAAGAGATTCAAGTCCCAACCCACTCTGTATTGCAAATTCCTCATTGAGCTTGCAACAAGTTGCAGTTTTTCATTGCTTTGATGGATCTATATGCTCACATTGAACTACAATTCGTCAACAGAATTGCAATTTGTTTGTTGCAGAACTAACCATATTTATCTTAGAAGTAGGATTGTTGCAAACAACTTTTCAGCCAACATGCCATCCTGATAAACATCAAGTCAGGTGCTGTGAGGGAAATCTAAGATTTGCAAAAGTGTCCTTGACATTGATGTAGCTTTGATAAATTCCAGGGTCACACTACCCTCCCCTGGAATTTAATTGCATCATTGTATCATTGAAGAACCAGGTCAGATTAGCCTTGTACACAAGGAATGTAAGAGAATGACTGTGTAGTGTTCAAGGTAGTATATGTGCCTTGAACAACTACCAATTTTCGGTAATCAAAACATTATATATTGTCTGTAACAGTCATGCTGCCTTGACATCTTATAATTATACTTAATATTATGATTATATGAAAAGCAAAAAAAGATACCAATCATTAATATTTATCATCAATTTTCTATAGCATAAATACCTAAAGAGGCACAACAAGTTCTGCTCCATGTTTTCATTTAAACAATATACATTTCATCATATACATGGTGGAATTTACAAGAAGTGACATTAAAATTATATGCAATTACACTTCATTCTGCAGCAGTGTTCCTAACCAAAAATCAAATTTTTTACAATATTCAAAAATCAATTTATCCAAGGATATTTATTTATTTGAATATACTTATATAATTTATTTCATAATTATTTTGGATATTTGTAATTATTTTTTTTGGACACTTGTAATTATTTTTGGGTACTCATAACTATTTGGATATTCATAATTATTTTGGATACTTAATATATGGCAAACAATTATAGGAATATAATTACATAATATTATTAAGATGTTTTATTTAAGATCAAATGAAATAGCATTATTCTGATGAATGAGCTGTTGAATAACTCCTTTAGATTATATTTTTAACAACTAATGGAGAAATAAATGTAACAATTGATAAAGTAAAGAAAATTTTAGAGTTTACATTGGAAGAACTCTGAGTTCTAGACATTCTTTGTTTCAATATGACAATTGCATAAATAAAGCTCGAGCAGATCTGCATAAAACGACGTTGATCATTTTGTATTATTATTATTCAGATCAAAAAAAATTAATAAAATGGAAGAAAATAAAATTAGACTTCAATGGTGTAAATTTATTACAGCAGTAGCTAATAAACTTGGTTTGTAAGTTGTTTTTTTAACGAATACTGTTCAATTTTTTCCTTTAAAAATTTATTCTTTACTAATTAATATATGCATATGTGTATATATATATAGTCCACAGTATACAATATGTACAGCACAATTACTTTATCATCGTTATTATACAGAAAATTCAATTGAAAAGGCTACATCTTCAAACAATATAACAGCTGTAATTACAATAATAATAAAACATGATTATTTACAAATTTTTATATATATTTTATTAATTAATTTATTTATTATTAATGTAAAATAATAATATTAATAGGATGTTAGTATAACGTGTTTATTTGTAGCGACAAAAATAGAAGAAACATACAAAAAATTAAAAGATATTCTTATAGCAGCTTACTATGTTCTATGTCCAGAAGGACCTGAAATTAATACTGAAAGTCAGGTATTATTATTTTACATTGAAAAATTGTACTGATTTTTTATAAGAAATTTTTTTAATAAAAAATTAATTAATTGATTGATTAGATTTTAGAAGAACAGAAAAGAAGAGTACTTACATTAGAACAAACAATATTAGAAATAACTTGTTATGAATTTAAATTTCTCCATCCACATAAATTTTTAATGAAATTTGTAAAGAAATTAGGCGGTGATAAATCTTTGGCATTTAAATCTTATCAAATAGTTAATGAATGGTATACTTTATTTACGAAATTTACATCTATTTTATATATATACACATTAATGTTGGTTTCCAAAACTATAGAGTTTCGCAACTGTGCGAAAGTCAAAAAGGTTTCGCATAAGTTGAAACTGATTTTGATTTTTTTGACTTTTGATTTAATTTTGACATATAACCTTTTAATCTTAGTTTTGACTTTCGCCTCTTCAAAATAGTTTTGGCGACCAACACTAATACACACATACATATACATATATTTATTTTCATTCATTCAGTTATAAAACAACTGTATGTCTTAGATTTCCTCCGCATACTTTGGCAGTTGCATCAATTTATTTAGCAATTAAATTATTACAACTAAACGATTTTCCACCAACTCCTTCTTCTATAAATAGTAATGATACAACTTGTGAATACGAATGGTATGAATTATTTTTATGTAGAATTGAAGATATTGAAGGTAATTAATTAACTAATCAATGGGTTGAATTGAAAGAAAATTAATGTTTGATGATTTATTTACTCTTAAGAAATAATTGCCACATTATATATTTTATTAAGGTTTATTTATTTATTATTTAGAAATCTGTCATATTCTTTTAGATAATTTTATTCTTGAAGCAAATATAAATAGTATAAATATAAATAATAATAATAATACAATGACAATAACAGAATTCAATCAATTGAAAACATTATTAAATGAACAAGCTATAAATAGAAAAAATAGAAATGAAGATGACAAAAATGATCATTCACTAGTAATAATAGGTATTATTGTTATTTAAATTCTTTATAATTTCTTGAATTCTTTCCAATTTTCTCACTCTTTTCTCAAATTTCTTTCTCCCAGATAAAGAGGATGTTCAAATGACATCAACATCATCAATTCCAACAACAAATGGGACAGATAAAAATAATGCAACTACTAGATATCTTTTTACACCAACATATGCTATTAAGCCTATTATTCACTATTAAAAAATATGAATATAATTAGATTTTTTGTAGATATTTGATAGTTTATATATTTTTAATAATAATAATAATAATAATAATAATAATAATAATAATAATAATGGTCATGAAATTGTGTAATTCAGAATTACTTGATCAAATTTTTTTGATTTCTTTTTAATAATAAATAAATAAAAAATGTCTTTAAGGCAAAGAGAGTTTGCTGAATTGTGTTCAAGCTCTTCCAAACCAGGACAAGACATATTTTTGGTGGTCTAGCTCATAGAAATGGATGGTGGGATCAATAAGTGTCAGCACCTCAAAAAGAAAACTCATGTCAATAAGAGATCCTTTTACTGCTGGAATTACAATACATCTCTTTGTCAAAAAATATACCTTAATATGACTTGGGAATTAGTTGGGTTTAATGCTTCGATGAAAAACAAAAATGGCAATTGATAAAAATTTTGCTACTGCAGCAAAGAAATTTCTCTTGAATTATGCAGTAAATCAATTAACTCGATCACTTATATCCTTACCAGCAGAAAGAGCTGTAAATCAACTCGGAGACTTTCTTACTTACCTGAGAGAAGATAGCAATTTGGAACTATTATTAAAGTATGATGCTATATGCTCTTAGTGAAAATGAACTTATTGGGAAAGGTTCCGATGGCACATTGGGTGATGGAATTAAAAGGAGAGAAACATCTGAAGATTACTTGTGGATAAAGTAAAAATGGTACAACTATTTGATTTTATTTATATTTGGTAATTTGTATTATTATGAAAGTGTTGAATTAAATTTTATGATTCCAGGACATACCAAATTCAAATATGATGGTAGTTTAAAAAATTGTATCGAAAGACAAGCGTAGACTGTTGGATTACAGGAATATAGGGTTATTAGGTGTATTAAAGCAATAAATATAATGACTTTAATGAATGTCAAAAAGCAATTGATTTTTTAGAGGCAATTGTGATTGTTCACCAATGGTTCCCAAAAATAATTTTGCCGAATTACATGAGGCCTTTCAAGCTCTTTCCAAGTCTGAACAAGACATATCTTTGATGGCTCAACTCAAAGTAATGAATTGAGCACTAGCAGACGTCTTAAAAAGAAAACAAAAGAACCTTCTACTTTGCCAAAAGACCTATCCCGCTATGCTAAGAGTTGGCCGGGATTTCTTTGAAAATATTAGAAATCGCTTAGCAAATAATGGTCTTCTACCAAGGGTTCATGGTAATGTAAGGAAAATGCCTCAATGAATGGTAGTCGACTGAAATTGTAAAGGATTTTCCGGAAAATTGTGCTGAAATCCATGAATCAATAATAAATCCTTATCAACAAGCGGTGGATTGTGTGTATACTATGGTGGTTATTGTTTCAGACACAGCTTTTATGGAATTGCACTTGTTTGAGATATGGGAATAGCAAGGATAATTGTCATGTGAGCAACAGCACTTATAGAAGTTGTTGTTGGTATATGTAAGCTATGAATATTATGATAATAATCAATGTTTGAAATTACTGGATTTTCCTGACGTTTTGATGGCTCTTTTCAGCAGCATTTTCTTTACGAATCAAAGATATGGCATTCATTTCATGCCGGGTTCCACTTGATGTTGAACATAATTGCATGTTTAGAGAATATATCTATAGCTTTGTTTGAAGTACCTGATTGATCTAAAAACATTGTAATATCCTCTTTCGTGTTTATTCCAATTTCTGAAAGAAAGTAACATAAAAAAGATAATCCTTTTTGTCGTTGCAAGATTGTATGATCTGAAAGAACCCTATCATTTGGATCAATTAATTTCTCTAGTTAAAAATAGAATAAGGATTAATATACTGTCACCAACTATTTGAGAGTGTTTATAGTTAATGGCAAACGAAATAGATTTTAATATAAATCAAGTGAAGTGCGGCGAATGGCTTTTAGTTTGTGATTTGATTTGGGTCAAGTTGAAACTTGTTGGCCGTTATTATTTCTTTATTCGAAAGTCATATGAAAACCTCGTTTCAACTAATTATAATTAAATTCGCGTTACAACGAATTTTACATTTTGATATTGAGAATTGATCGCGTAACAGTCATGAACATACGCGTAACAATTCAATTTAAAGTAAAAAAAATAAGGGTGCGAGAAGCAAAAAAAAAAATATTATAGGTGTCACTTTTTTTTACGTAATATATGTTCTCTACATATTGGTGAAAATAAGATCCACAGGTACAGAAGTAAAGTTTTAGAAATTGTACAGTTCGCACTCTATAACGATTACGAAAAAATGAGAGAATCCGTTACAGACAGTAATAGTAATGATTTATTATTATATATGAAACATAAATTGTGCTTAAATTTTCTCGGTCTCTTATTATTATTATTATTATTATTATAGAGCAATATCCGTTATAGAGAGATCCGTTACTATTATAGTAATAGTAATAGTAATAGAGAACGAACGGTATGTTGAAATACATTTATTCAGATATACACATTTATTATTTTATTATTTTATTATAAAAATTTGTTTATTCAGTAAAATACAAATTTTCATTAAATAATTTATTAACTTGTGATATTTGTCAAGGTAATTGTTATTGTGCATTATTTATTATTTTATTTATTATTTTAGATAAATTTCAGAAAATAAACATCAATCAATAATAATTCTATTGTACCCTTTCACATGGAAAAAAAACATCGAGCATGAACATCATTGCAAAATAAATTCTAAATTGTAGTTCATAAGATTACTCGCTAAAAAAATTTTTTTTGAAGCATGTAACGGTTATATTGAATGACTGATAATAAGTTCAAAAATAAATTTCATTCTAGGCTGTTGAGAGTTACGGCCAATCAGCATAGTGGACATTCGTTTTATCACTTGTGACAAAATCGATCATCAATATTTTTTATATTGTGGAACTTGCCATTTAGAATAGAAAAAAGTCGCGTAACGATCTTAATTTTTGCGTGATATCTGGAAAGGAGATCGTCACAAAATTTAGCCAATGAAATCAAATGTCCACTATGCTAATGCAATTAGTAGATAGGTGTAATGAACAGTATATATATCAATTAAACCATTGTTTGAAGCAGGAATCCCAATTTTAGACAATATCCCTTGTTACTATGCTTGATACTAACGAGATTCACTGGGAGGTTAGATATATATATATATAAGTATAATGAAATAGTAAAACAGATTTTTATCGATCATTTTCACTGCTATCTGCTATTAATTAATTAAAGAAAACGTAAACTGTTATAATTCATCATACAGATGAGATTTTTTTAATTCTGAAAAATATTTTGAGCTTGCAGAATATGCATCTACAATGTAACAGAGCCATATTTATCAATATTTGATGTACTTTCATATTGAAAATGCAATTTTCGGCACAAATTCTAGATACCTACTAATGCAAATTTAAAAGATCATACATAATAAACAAAAAACAGCATCGTTACGTTCCTGACAAGGTTCTCGGTAATTAAAAACACTTTTAGATTTTTTTTTCTAGCTATTTTGCTTCCAAAGTTATAAGCGTTTTAAGATTCCAATTGTTAAAATCAATTTATTTAAAGAAAATTGCCTTTGCATAAATTGTTATAACTCATCATACAACGAGAATTTATTAATTCTGAAAAATGGTTTGAACTTCCAGAACATCTCTCCACAATGTAACAGAGTCATATTTTGAAAATATTTATTAACATTGATGTGTTTCATATTTCAAATATAATTTTTTGTAACAGCTCTGTTATACTATAAACAAGGCTTCTAATAGTTAAAAATAACTTTTTAATTTTTTCCCCGGCTATTTTGTTTACAAAGTTACGTATAAATGATTTAAAATTTTGATGTTAAATCAATTTGTTTTAATTAATTAAAGAGAATCGCATTGTATAAACTACTATAACTCATCATACAGATGAGAATTTTTAATTCTGAAAATTTTTTTGAGCTCGCAGAACATCTCTCTACAATGTAACAGAACTATATTTTAAAAACATTTATTTAAAATTGATGTAATTTTATATTGCAAATGTAATTTTTGTCATAAACTCTAGATACCTACTAATACAAAATTAAAAGGCAACATTGTTACATTGTAGACAAGGTTCCAAACATTTTTAATCTTTTTTGTAGTTTTTTTGCTTCCAAAGTTATAAACGTTCTTAAAACCATTTTGAACTGCATGTTTATGTGGTACAAAACCGTTAATTGATTTTTTCCCTGTTTGCTATAAATGTACGAATAATGAATTAATGAATTGTCCATCAAATACATTATTACCGCAAACTTAGTATTAGTGGTATCTGAATTTTCGGGTCCGTATTTACTTAATTTGTTAAGATCAACATTTAATTAATTCGTGAGACCCTTTAATTCAAAATTTTACTTTATTTGTAAAAAATAAATCAATTTCGTCTATTAAACAAAATCACCTAATTCACAAACAGAAATCACTACTATCAGTAATAATAACAATCATACTAATATGTTGCCTGATCAACTTTTAGGGAATTTAGAAGCTAAAATTTCATATGAAATAAACGATAATCCTCATCAATCCATAAAGGCAAAGCATAGTAGATTGAATTACACTTCATTGATTAGACCATTTTTAGAAAGAAAACGTTGGAGATATATATCTTGTTTAATAGTGGCAGTGATTGTTTTAGCTTTATTTCAAGGCCTTTTAACGTTTTCGGATTTCTTACTGTCTTCAAGAAATAATCATCTCCAAATAGGTAGGTAGGTATGTGTTGAATTTGGCGATTTAAATTTTCTTTGTTCAAATTATAATTTAATTTAACACAGTTTCATTTCACCCAATTTAAAATAATTATAAAACAATAATGATATGATGTAAAAAGAAAAACAAAATTACCAACCAGTAAAATACATTGGAATACCTTCTAACGCAACAACGGAATTAAATAAAGCTACAAAGATTTTTCATGTTACAAAAGAGTTTGGATTAGCATCAATGAGCGGGTTAGGTCATGTAGTTACAGGATTAGCAAAGGCTCAATCTGCCAATAGTAGATTGGATGTGAATGTGATAATGCCTTTCTATTCTTTTATGAAGCCACACTATCCATTTCGCAAATTTGCTCAAATGTCAATTGACATTCGTAATAAACATGGTAATTGGCATCAGGTGATTTTCATGGTACACAGATTTTTTTGGAATATAACTGATGATGATGCATTGAGTGATGACCAATCACATACATCACCACCTGGATCATCATCAAGAGCTGTAACCGTTTTTGCAATTGGCCCTGGTAAAAAAATGAAACCTTTTAATTTTGCTTTTAAATCTGGTGGAGTAACTGATATATATTCAACACCATCTGAATTACCTCAAGAATGGAGTGATTTATATTTTTGTAAAGGTGTAGCTGAATTAATAGCTTATATGAATAATGACATTGACACTCCTTTATTTGCAATTGAAGAAGAACGGGGTATTGATATTGTGCATATTCATGGTGCTACAAATGCATTGGTAATAGAATTTTTTAATGATTTAATTAAAGTAGATAATAGATTTAGCAAACCACCACCTGCTATTGTTTACACTTTGCATGATTATTTGGAGGAACAATTATATTCAAACGAGATTATAAATATTTTAAAGTTTATGGATTTGAAAAATTATACAGCCGAAAAACCAACTTATTTTCATGGACAAAGAATGTATACATCATCATTAGCAATCGATCAAGCAGATTATGTCACATTTGTCTCATATACTATGGCAAAAGAAATGGTGGAAGGGCCAATGGATTTCTATCTTAAAGAATTGATTATGCCTAGCATATTGGAACGTGCCAGAACAGGAAATTGGATTGGTATAACTAATGGTATTGATATAATAACTTTAAATCCATTTAATGACACATTATTAATTGAAGCCAATTCGAACTTTCCAAGAAACATTAATTCATTCAACCCGAATGTTCTTATTCCTAGTAATTTTGAGCACTACTATAATGATCTGGTGACTTCTTCAAAAATTAATGCTAAAAGACATTTGGTTAAAGAAGGTCTCCTTAAAGAAAAAGACCTGGACCGTGTGATCGTATTGTTTGTTGGCAGATTCCAATACAATAAAGGTGTTCGATATTTCCATGAAGCTGCTCAAATCATTTCACAATTAGATGCCAAATTTATAATAATGGGACAACCTAATAGTTTTCCAGTGGAAAAGATTGTTAGCATAAGTAAAGAGTATCCAGATGATGTTGTAGTTATTAGTGAACTTGAATTTCAAAATAATTGGGATGTTTTGTATAGAGCTGCTGCTGATATATTATTTGTACCTAGCATAACAGAAAGTTTTGGATTAGTGGCAGCAGAAGGATTATTGTTTGGAACTCCTGTAGTTAGTACAGGTGTTGGTGGATTAAAAGAATTTTTGAGAAATAAAACAGACACTATACTGCCAACATCTTCATCTTCTTCATCCTCGCCACCACAAAAACCATCAAAACAACCATCACCGTCAAATGACCTAAAGTTCAATTATAATTCATATTTATTCAATTTGTATGAAGGTGATTGGTTTGATTTTTCAGTTGAGGAAATGAGATTAGCATTAAGTACAGCAATCAATGATATAAAGGAATTGTCAAATGATATTAGAAGTAAAGAAATATTTTTGAGAAAACTGATTAAAGACGCTTTAAATTTAGGTTGGAATAGACATGATGGACCTGTTGATCAATACACAAAAATTTACAAGATGGCAATTGAAAAACATAATTATGATTTAAGTAAAAAAACGATTTATGATAGTAATTTTTTTTACAACATATAATAATAATAATAATAATAGAAAATAATTTACATAGAATATTTATTTATTAATTTTAATTTTAATTTCTAATAAATTTATCCCTTTTTTTTTTTTTAATGATGTTGGATTAAAAAAATAAAGCATTATTCGTTAATATTAATATTAATATTAATTAAATATAGTCTCTAATATTTTCATTAATTATAGCTCTAACGTTTTAGGTTAATATGGGGCATGCTTGCAGCAAAACGAATACGATGCTAAAAGGTATTGCAGGGATTCGAATTTAGCATTCAATAGCCTATTGGAGTAATTAATCCAAAGGTATAGATATTAATAATATGAGGTATTTGTGTTGTCTCCTATATCTTTCTATCATTATAATGACAGTAGAATTTTTCAACAAAAAAAAATCATTATAAATATTTTATACAATAAGGCTTTATAGATATATATACCTAACAACTGAAGTATTTTAATGCTCAGTCTGATTTATTGATGCCACATTGACAATGCATCAATTACTTGTGAGCATAAAGGTAATATCGACACTTAATTTAAAAAAGTATATCCACCAACCAGACAGAACTAGTGACGGGTGTTTGACTGTTATAAATTTTTTATAACAATATAACAATATAGTTGTTACATAACATTTTTACAACAGTTAACCATCACTGAATACATACTAATTAGTATTAGTATTAGTATTAAAAAGTATACTAACACGGAAAAATGATTTATTTTTAATGTATTAGTATTAATATGGGAAAGTGGCTTTTTCCCGCGTTTGTTTGACTACATTTGCCTTATTATTATAATCTTAAAATCCGGTTTGATTCAAATCGAATCTAACCGCTTTAAAATTCGACTCGATTCTTAATTACAATTATTGCTATTATTTATATACTAATGAAATTAATTGGAGCAACAACCATGAAGGTATGAACCTATTAAAGCTGCACTACAAGGCCACCTACCTGAAAAGAAAATACACAGCTGCCTTGGATTTCTAACCAGGGAAATACGAAAGTACTTGCATGTGCGTGGAAAGGATAGTTCTATTAAATCTAAGCTCAATATGTCAGATTCATTTTATTTTTTTGGGAATGGTTTTTAAGAACTCTAGAACATGGTTGGCATTTAGTCATTGACAAAGAATTCTTGGCCAAATACCAACCATGCTCTACAACTTGCAATTGCAATTGTAATTTGGAACTGAAAATCATTTATTTTCTCTCTCTCTCTTTCTTTAAAATTTCATTATTACTTGGGTGAAGCCGATTACTATTCTTAGTGCAAAACTATATCATTATCATAATATTATTAAAATTACGTCTTCTTTATCACCATCACATCTTCATTTTCATTACTCCCTAAATTGCTTCTATGGCTATTTTTCTAGGTTTGGTTTTTGGTTGATAAAAGTTTTTTTTATGGTGGGAAGCAACCCTATTTTCTTCTCCAAACAACCCACAAATTCCAATTTTGTAAATCTGAGACCTGCTCAGCTTTTTTTTTTCTTACCAACCTTTTCTACAACTCTTCAACATCCTCCATTTTTTTTTATCACTAGCAAGCCTGCTTGACTTTGGGTTTCTGGGCTCTATTCAATTAATTCATTGATAATTTGGTTTTGTTATAAAGGTGGTTTATAATGTAATGAAAATGTAAGTCTAATAAACAATTCACAAAAGAATTCGCTGGTAGAAGTAAGCATTTTCTTAATTAAATTACTGATACAGATATCTGCAGTTTGATTTTTTATGTAAATAATAACAGATGTAAATCATATTGGTTTTTTCCTATATATTAATATTGATAAAAAGTTTTTTATTGTTATTTGAATTATTCTACAAGAATTTCCTTCCTATTCATAATTTTTTCGTTCCCTACTCTTGGAATTGGGTATTAAAAATAAATTGAACAAAAAACATCTTGAAGTATTTATCGTTGTTGTTAAAGATGACACAAGACTCCATCAGGTTTTTAAACTAGATTTATATAATAAACATTTATTAATTTATATATAATAATAACTGAACTGCTAATAGCAATTAAAATACCACCACAATTACTACCAATCAGTTTCTTTTTGTTATTGTTGTCTTCATTCCAATTAAGTAACAATATTTTGACTTGCTTCATTTTGAATAGGTGAGTGTTTTTATTCCTATAAGAATATAAAACAAAATATCATAATTATCAAAAAATCAGAGAGATAGATTCAACTTATTAATTAATTAAAGAAAAAAAAAATTTTTTTTTTTGGTCAGACAGCCAAAGGAGGATTCCTCAAAAGATTTAATCTTTTTCAGTTTTAATTTTGCGAAACTAGTTTTATTTGAAATTATCATCATTTCCAAAAACATTCAAACATTATAGAGAAAAAGAGGAATACTTACGATAAAACTACTTGTTGATTTTTTTAGTTTTTTTAATGTAATCAATACATCGACTATAAATCCACTTTGTTCAGTCAGATACGTCTTTGGAATCTATGCAAAGTTGTGATACTTTTTAATTTTCTGTATATAAAATTTCCCTATTGCAGATTAAATGATAATTGGTTTCTAATCATTAAAATAATTAGTAATAGTGTCTAAGCATGTTTTATGAGTGTAAGTAAATCAAGATATAACCTATTATATGATCTTTGTACTATTGGAAAAAGTTGAATATGAGTTATAAGTTAATCAAATATATAATAATGAGAATTCTTTACCTGCAAGTATAATTAATAATTAATAAAGGAAAATGTTATCATTCATATTTAAAAAAAATAATAATAGAAGCCTTAAACTTTTGCTTCTAAGGTAACCTATTGAAATCAAATTGATCAAATTGATCAAAGCGATATATCTATTAAAAAAAAATTTTTTTTCATAAAATGGGTTTTGTGCGCAATCACGCGACTTTTTTCTATTGAAATAGCAAGTTTCACAATATAAAAAAGATCGACAATCGATTTTGTCACGAGCGATAAAACGAGTGTCCACTACAGTCACATATATGTGTGTGCGTTTGTGTTTGTTCTATTAATAAATTCAAATTTTCTTTAAAAATTCATTTAGACTCAAGATTTGAATAAATATTTGTCTGAATACATGAAAGGACTAACCATCAAAGTATTTCATACATACAATGCATCTCATACCTTCCAAATTGAGCTAAAGAAAGGGATGGGGAATGCTACTACTGTAACAGAGAAAAATAGCAGCATATAATAAAGCAAACAGACAGGTTGCTATTTTATGTAACCATCAACATTCTGTCAGAAAAGATCATGATAATAAAATCAATAGAATCAATGATAGGGTAATTTTTTTTTTATCATAATTATTGTTAATTTCTTAAATAAATTCACATGTATGTATTCTTTAATATGTTAGGTTCATGCTTTGAAATACCAAAGAAATAGATGTAAAATGGAATTGTTGAATCTTGAGCCCAGATTAAAAGAGAAAGAGCCTCAACTATTTGAACCAGAATCAGACATGGAAGAGGAATGGATAATTGAGCATGAGAAGCAATTGATGGAAAGGGAACGTTTGGCAGTTGTAAAAAAATTTGAAAGAGATAATGAAAAGCTTACAAGAGAAGGAAAGTCACCTAAACCCAATGAGAATCTTAAACAATTATTAAAAAACATTGATGAAAAAGAGAAGGTGTTGAAGAATGAACGAAAATCTGGAAAGGTCAATCCGAGAAAAGGACAAACAATTGAAAAACTCCGGATCCAAATAGAGCAATTGACAGAATGTATTAAAACCACCAAGTTATCAAAACAAGATAAAGAGGACAACAAGACAATTGCATTAGGCACATCAAAAATCCATTACATAGACCCACGGATCTCTGTTGCATGGTGCAAAAAATATGATGTGCCGATCACTAAAATTTTCAACAAGACCCTCTGTGAAAAGTTCTGGTGGGCATTGGATGTAGATGCGGATTGGGTGAGTATTTTTTTTTTTAATTAATTTTATTAAATAATAATATATTTAAAATTATTTTTATTATTTTATAGGAATTTTAATTGTTGTGTAGTTATTTTTCATTTGGTCATTTTTTGCTTTCACTATTTTAAACTTGTGAATTTGTACATTGTGCTTGGTATTAAATCTTTGCCTGGTGGATGGTTATATTTTTTGTGCCGATAGAAATTTTTTTATAATTTAGATCTGATGATAGTAAGGATTTTATTATCATCATCATTAGCTATATTATTATTATTAATAATTTAGATTATAAATATGAAAGCTACAATTTATATATATATATACTCCCTCTATCAATTTCATTTTATTATAAAATAATTTTATATTATAATTAATAAAAATAGAGAGACAAGAAATTTCAGAGGACTAAATTTTAGTGATACAAAATAAACTTATTTTATTCCTGTAATCAATCCAAAGATATAAATTCATGCCAAGCTTAAAATCTTGTTTTCACTTTGGCATTGACTTGGTTGTACTGGTTTTATTCAATTTCAATCTGGCTGATACTTTTCTAGTTATATATTTATTAAAAAAGATTATCATAAAATAATGTCATTTTTTAACCCAATTCGTTTTGTAATAATAAAACAAACCAATTCTTTTTTTTTTGTTTAATTAAAACACTTTTGTGGTCTGAAATTAAGCAGTAGAGTTTAATTGACCGCTTGCTTTTCATCTGCAGTTTAGGTTTCGCCAACTTCGCCGCAAAATTAGGCCTTAACGATTAGTTCTGGCCATCACCCACTAGCCTTGTGTCTTTAATTATGTATTATTTCATGAATTGTCTTGAATTATGTCTTGCGTCACGAATTGCCTTGAGTTACGTCTTGCGTTACAAATTGAGCTCTACATCTTTTGCATCATGAATTATGTTTTGCGTCATGCATGGCACAAATTGCAGCCTTTAAACCATTGTAACTGTTTCGCCTTTTATATTTAATTAATTATTATTATTTGAATTTATGTAAATCACAAAATTTTCTTATTAACCCGAAATCAACCCGAAAATTTCGGGCCGGGTTCGAGTCGGTCTCGGGTTTGCCTTTAAAACATTCGGACCAAGCCTGAACCCGACCTGTTAGGGACCTTAATTTTGGACACTATTAAAATTAATTCCAGTTATTATGAAAAGCCATTTTGGCATTTTGAATTTGGCAATCCTTATATTGATTTTGTCTAACCGAAATATACAAAATTTAGAGCAAACACCATTACTAATAAAAGTCAAAACTCAGCAGTGATCAGAAATAAACAATAGTAATAAAAAACTTGTGCAAATTTGAAGTGGTGTTATTTAATGGGCAGAACCACTTTTCTAAGTGGTACTTTTTCAATTTTACAATTACTCTCCACGTATAAGTTGTCAATTTTTTTGAATGCGTGTAACACAGATCTATAAAAAGATTTTTAACTATGTTATGCAAAGTAGGTATGATTTCTAATCCAAGTGAAGAGTTGTATATAATAGTGACATTAACTCAAAGTTGCTTTTACGTTATGGTCCTTTTCACTAGGTTTTTTTCTTCTAAACAATAAAAATTTGCGTTATGAAGATCAATGTCAAAATGGGGATTAGTCAAAATAATTGAATTGGGGGTGCTTCTGATTAATAAATAATAGATAAATAGTTATGAATCTTTTAAAAAAATATGAAAATTTCATTTTAGCTAATGCATCGCAAATAAGTTCGATTGAAAGTTCTTTAAGAACTTTAACTTATGTTTTACCTGGTAATAAAATAATTTCTACAAGAAAATTTTCAATCTGCATTATTTATTTATTTTCGTTGATTGAGAACATCTATATTTATATATTGTTTGATTGTTAAATAACAAATAAAGGTCGATTTGCTGATGCTGAATTTGCTTCGGAAGCATGTATGTTATAAGATAGAAACAAAATATCTTGAGTTTTATTCTTTATCATCATCATTACTAATTATTATTAACTGTCAAAAATAAAATCTTTGTAGTATTTTCAGCTTTAAGTTTAATCGGATTGTATCATGATTCAATATTGGTTAGAGCATTGGAGAAACTACCACCTTATAAAAAACCTAAACCATCACCACACAATAGATACACGAGATATTGGTTAAATTCTTCAAAAACATATCAGTATTCTTCATTTGTTTTAACATTATTACAAAATATTGAGGTTTTGTTGGAAATGGGAATGCAAAAGAAGTTGGGTAAAGAAGCTAAATGGAAATATATTACTATCATCGAATCAATAAAGTATGATATATTTTGTTTTCCAAATAATAATATTAATAGCAATTAATTAATTATATATATTATTTTTCCCAATTAGAGTGGTTTGTAGAATTATATTATTATACAAAACTCATAATCGTACAGTAGTATATCCATCAATACCTGGAAGAGAAATTGACCCTCGTATTTTCAATCCAGAAGAAACTAAAAATAATAATAATAATTACACATCACTATCATCCTCCTCTTATTTTCCAATTGACAAATCTGCTAATGATTTTAATTGTATTGAATCAAAAGAATCTGAAGGCTGGATTGGAAGAAATACTAATAATAGATATGATAATATTTCAACTATTGTTCATAATAATAGTTATTTGCACACTTCTGATATAAACAATTATTTGATGAATAAAGCTTTATTAATTGAAGATGTTGAGAAACCATCATATTTAGTACATAAACTATATGGTTTAGGAATCATCAGTGAATTGTTATACATTATTAGACCTTTAATATATGGTATTTTCTTCTTTCTTTTGACATTTTCCATTGTCATATTAATTCTCATTTATATATTTTTATTTTTATAATAGTTCTTACTCTTCAAAAATATGGAAATAAATCATGGAAACCTTGGCTGTTATCCATAATCATAGAAATATATACTAGAGTTCTTACCAATTATTTTCATAAACAAATCTCTGGTGGATCACATCAATTGACAAGTGTAGAAAAGAATGAAGAAACAAGAAGAATAAAACAATTATTTTTGTATATTTTAAAAGGACCTTTCTATGAAAAAATCACAAGGTTGTTTATTTTTTATATTATATTTATTTATTTATTAAAAAAAATTTTTTTTTGAAAATTAATTGATTTTTTTATTTCAATATATTGAATGAAAATTTAGACCAAAAATCGATAAAATTTGTCAGTCCATTGGTAATAAACCGATCCTATCATTATTTGGTGGTATTTTAAGAGATTATAAACCTATATGGGAAAATGTTTATTTCTACAGTAAGTTTTTTTCTTTTCTTTTTTTGAAAAATTTTTTTTTGGATCTAATTAAAATTTTTTTACATAGCTGCTGGTTCTTGATATTCGAAATTTTTTTTTATGTAAATGATATTATACAGTATCGTGAACATTATAAATTATAAAATAATCATAGTTTTGTTATATTAATATGTAAAATTGTTTTTTTAGGGAGGGATAATAATTTTTTTCCCCTCTTTTCAAAATATGTATTTAATGTTTGTAGGAGAAAAAATCCAATAGATTGTAAAATTAGACGTTTTATTAACAATAATAATTATTATATGAATAAATTGTATGGAAAAATTTTTTCTGAATTTTAAAAAATTAAGGAATTGAATAAACTCGTGCCAATATTAAAACATTTACACCTAAAGAAATTACAAGATTACACAATGACGGTTCCATAATAAACCTTAATTAAAATCCTTCTCGATATAGCGGATATCTCGGTTTGACGGATTTTTGGAAAATTTTCCCTAATTGCCAAACTATCCGCTAAATCGAGATTCACTGTGTATTATTATCGTTTATTTACGGCTGATATTTGTTCATGAAAACCGGAGATGTGGGCTTTTTAATTCGAATATATAGATAAAAAAGTTAAAGCGATAATTCTTTTGACAGCACAATGTATTACTTGATGAGATTTAATGTTATTATTTATTATTAGCACTAAATCCTTTGTTATTAAATTTTAACACAAGCATTTTTGTAAAAAATAGCAACATAATTCTATCATTCCAATAAGAAGATTTCCGATCTAAGATTATAAAAAGCTAAAAACGACAATTAAGAGTTCTTTTCTTGTTGAAGAAGTTGTTGCTGCAATTTGTATTTATCTTCAAATGTAAATGGAAAGTATGCGTATTTTAACCATCTTTATCCTTATAATCCGGTCCCGTTTACTTCGTCGAAAATTATTTCGTCGACAATCATTTCGTCGACACCCATTTCGTCGAAAGTTCATTTCTTCGGCTTATGTATCGTACTAATGATAAATGAGGTGATGATAGTGATGGCAACAATATTGACATTAGTAGAGTGCGTGGATCAGACAAATTGGTAATATTCCTTTCATGATGCATAAATTTGAGTCATTCGTATACTTGCAAACTAATTAGC